CCCCAGCTCTATGGTCCTGCTGCCCCTTATCCCCTCAGCCCTGCTGGTGCCTCTCACTCTTGACCCACAGCTCCCTGCTCCCCCCAGCCCCTGCAAGCGTCTCCCAGCTGCCCTGCCTCTGAGCACAGGCAGTGGCATGGCCCTGCCACGCAGCACCCTGCTGGCCCTGCCCTGCTCCCTTCCCCCACTGGAGGAGCAGGCGCCTTCCCTGTCCTACTGCAGCCCAGTGCTGGGGAAAACTTCTATGCTGAGCAAAGCAAAATCCTAAATCCTGGGCATTTGTTGATATTTAAATAAATGGCTGGACAGAGCTGGGAGGACCCAACCTGGACATATGGTAACCCTAAGAAATGGTGCGAGACAGGGTGCATGGGGGAACCTGCAAGATTAAAGGAGCTGCCATGCAGCCTACTTACACCATGAATTCAGTAGGTCCCTACAGAGAAGGTAGCTGGTCCAGAAGTCAGAGACTGTCTTAATTTTTAAACTTCTAAATGCTGCTCATTAGCTAATTAAGGACTCTGGGATAAATATTATTGCTTGTTAAAATGATAATCTTGATATTTTAAAAGATGCTACTTATTTGATGCATGAGGAATGCATTTCTTATGAGGAAGACTAAAGTTTGTAGTGATTTTTTTACATGTTCTTCCTGTTTTGGCACAATGCATAATTTGAAGGGAGTGATCCTTACTATGAAGAGAGATTTTGATTGAAGTGGAGACAATTGGGTAGAAGATTAAAAAAGCCAACAATGATAAATTGATTAGAAGGCATGAGCTGTAAAGGGAGGTGGAGAGAATAATATGTATGCAGTTTAGAGAAAAGATGTCAAAGGTGTGTGGGGGGGAAGGGAGGATATTATCCCATAAATTCTGGAGAGAGAACGACACAAAGAAACAACTGTCTCTGGTGGCAGAATAGGAGTCTGCACGTACAGGGGAAATGGAAAGTGTGAATTTAAGTTTTTATGATAATCTTTTCTAATAGTTGGTATAGTTAAATGAGGGATTAATTGGTTCAGGGAGTGTTGGGGTCTCATCACTACTGGTTTTCAAAAATAAATCAGGCAAAACAATTAGGAGATATAACAATCAATACAAAAAGAATAAACTAGTGCAAGAGGGATGAACTTGACGTTTCTTTCAGGGGTTTGATTGTGCCACAGAATTATTGAGGTTCCTGCTCATGGTGTAGTTTGTGACATTTTCTTGTTTTTAAATTTATTTCTGACTGATTCCAAGAGGGTATAGTTAATAGATGTACTACAGAAACATCAAACACCTTAATTAAAGAAAGATGGGAAGAAAAATCATTAAGCAGACTGTTGTGTTTGATAGAGCATTAGTAAACAAAATTAGCGTAAGCAGCAACTTTAAGTTTTTGCAGATCCTCTGTTATAAAGGTCTTGAAAGGCAAGATTAGAGATTAAGTGTTGAACTTCAGAGAACACATTGTAAACCTCAGATCTTCTTGCCTGCTGTCACTTGGATGTTGTCTTAGAAGTGCTAGCATTGGTTGTGTCTGTATTCTGCCCCAATTGAGGCAGAATACAGCTAAAACATCTGGAGGCAGTGGGTGGTTCAATATTTCTAATAATTCCATTTTTCCTGATTCAACTAAGTCCTTTTTATTTATTTATACTATCATGGTAACTAAAGTGTCCTTGGCACTGTATAAACAGGTAAGAAGATCTTGGTATTGTCACTTCAGGAGTTAAACAGTCTGAAATAATCTCAGGTCCTAAGTGTTATGGCATTAGACATGCTTGCAGAATATCTGTAAGTGGGGACAACATGTATAGATGAATAAAAGTACCCTCCTGAAAAGTTTGTATTCAGATGTCACTATCTTTGGTAGTGCTAACACCCTTCATCTTCCAATGACTCCCCCTGCTTCTATATAAGGCTTTCTCTGTCAAGCTTACCTATTTATTCAGGTCCTGCTCTGCCCTGCTACTCAGGTGAGCAGAAATCACTGGGATTTATTTGTGAACTAAGCTCTGGGTACTGCAAGTGATCTGGGTACTGCAAGTGATCAAGGTGTATTCCAGCACATGCAGAATTTCACTCTAGTGAGTTGTCCCACTGAAGCCAATAGGACTAATAACGTGTAAAATTTGGCTTATTCGGTGCTTAAGCATTTTTAGAAGTAGGCTTAAACTACCATTTGATATAAATAATGGTGTCGGAATGAATGATAATGATAAATGGGGAGCAGACACTTTTCATGTTGTCTTTATATTTCATATATTTCAATCAGATCTTTTTCTTCCTGAACTTAAATTGAAGAATTTGAAGAAATCACCGTGGTCTGGTTGATTATAGGCACTGGTAATTAGTTTCTGTCAAATTCTGATGTCTGATACTAGCATTTTGATAACCAGTGCAGCAGCAGATACTGCTCCTTCTTTATTTTCTTGAGATTGCCCCACATGATTTTAATCAATAGGGTGAAAGTCTGCTCTCATAAACCATATTTCCTTGCATACAACACACACCCAAAGTTAGTCCCCCAAAATTGGAGTGTGTATTAAGCAGGGAAGATGATCTTCTGCCTGGAATAGAAGCATCCTGTGCTTGGATTCTTGCTATGCCCAGGGTGCATCTACATATACATTTAACACACTTTTCCTGATGTGAATTAAATTTAGAACCTCCAATCTGAGGTACAAAATAAATGCTCTTTAGGCTGACCTAATGCGCAGTAGCAAAAGTGCATGCTCTTTTAGTGATGCTTAATATGCAGTAGCCTATTTTTCTGTGCATTAGTGTATTTGCATATGCAAAAAACTAGAACTCTTGGTTCCAAAATGATCTTCTATTAGACCCACTAGAAAATGGCAAGAAAATTGTCCTTTTTTGCAAGCTTTTGGGATCAAAGTCCCTTCGTCAGGCTCTGGGAAAAGTGTAGATGGTACAAGATGGTAAAAAGTCTCCCTAGGTAGGAAATAAACTTCATTTTTGCACAGAGGGAGCTGAAGATGGAAGGCTGTCCTGGGTCCATGAGAGTGTCTTTGTGAGCTGTGTTGAGTAGCTCTTTGATGTGTTGATCAGGTAGAATTCCTTCCCTGGAGGTGTCAGATGGCAGGCAGGGAGGTAACCCCCCCTCCCCCCAAAAAAACCCTTCCTTGTTGTTCTGCAATGAAGTTTAAAATCCAAAATCGGCTAAAAATCAGTATCTTCCATGTTTCAGGGGTGTACTTGGTAGTCGTGTTTATTTCCTACCTATGGGGATTTTTTACCATCTTGTACCATCTACACTTTTCCCAGAGCCTGACGAAGGGACTTTGAACCCGAAAGCTTGCAGAAAAGGACAATTTTCTTGCCATTTTCCAGTTGGTCTAATAAAAGATATCATTTTGGAACCAAGAATTCTAGTTTTTAGTATGTCTTTTTGCCTCAGACCAACATGGCTACCAAGTGCACCCCGAGTGTATTTGCAGTTTTTTATGTAACGTTTTAATGTGCAGTAAAATAGGATACTGTGCATTAAAGTGCACATGTAGACATGTCCACAGAGTGCAGCAGCTGCTGTATTACTATTTGAGTGAGCTGCTGTATTTCTTGGTTTATTGTTCTTTACCAAGAGGAGTTAGTGGTAGTCTCTCTTTTTAATGATCTTGATGTTCCACTAACCAGACTAACCTTTGTTAGGGCAACTTTGCCTTCTGCTATTTGCTGTGGGGGGGGGGGTTTCCCCTCCTACTTCAGTTTTGGAGACTCTTTAGCTCAGCTGTTCTCAACCTTTGGTAGATTCAAGGCACCCCTTGGAGAATGATAGCTCTTTGTCAACTCTTGTCTCTTGACTACGGAAAAAATAATAGGATTTTCTGTTGCAGAGAACTCTGAAAGATCACAACTATGGATTCATATTTGAAATTTGGGGGTTTTATCTTGTGAATTGTGTGTGCATGCTTACCAGTGCTAGCACTGCAGGGCACCCCGAAAGTATCTCAAGGCGCTGCAGTGCCATGACACCCTGCTTGTGAATCACTGCTTTAGCTCATTTCACAGAAGTCCACCTATGCAGGGCAGTCTTAGCAGCAGTTTGGGTTTCATCCTTAGCGAAGCAGGAAAGAAGGGTGAATTTGGCTCGATGGAGCCGTAACTCTGGAAAAATTGTTTTTCCTTTGCTCTTCAGAAGCAAGATGCGGCTTCTGCTCCAGGGCGGGTCGTAGGCCAGATAATACAGGGTAACTGACTTCCCGGTGTCACAGCGAATGATGCCTGAGGGAGTAGAGCACATCCACTAGCCAGAGACCTGCTCTTCCCTCATATTGAAATGGGGTCCTGGTCGACACCCTGTGAAACTTATTCGGGCACAAGACCCAGAGGTAGAAGAGGGCTCGTATCCTTTGAGCATCTGCCAAAACGCTGCCCCTTTGCCTCCGGCTTTCAGCCTGGGGTGCCCGGGGCTCTGGCGAAAGGGAGCGTGTCTGGCCGGGCTGGTCGCTCTCAACTTCGAGCCGTGGGTTGGGGGTGGCCCCCCAGGCCGGGCTCGCCGCCATCTTAGCCCGGCGGGGCTCCCGGGCCCTTGCCCTGCCGCCTGCCGGGGTCCGACTGCCGCGCGCACCGGGCGGTTGGGGAGGGGAGGGGAGGGGGGGGGGAGGTCCAAGGTACCACAGCCCCGCGCACCCTTCCCTGCCGCAGGGGGGGAGGAACGGGGCCCCACCCCTTGTTTCTTGACGCCACTTCCGGGCGCCCCCCATGTTTACTTCCCGGGTCAGCCCGAGAGGGAAGCCTTTACTGCTGCTGCTGCCGCCAGCGGAGGGAGCCGGGTCCGGGCCGGGGCTGCTACTGTGTCCCGTCCCGCGCTGAAGCGGCCGCTTGTGTTGCAGGTGTACCCGGAGCCGCGCACCGAGACCGAGTGTCTGAGCAACATCCGCGAGTTCCTGCGGGGCTGCGGCGCCTCCCTCCGCCTCGAGGTGAGTAAGTGAGCGAGCGGGGCCGGGCGGGTGAGCGGGGAAGGCGGGGGCTGGAGTGAGCCGGGCGGGGAAGGCGCTGGTGCCCTCGACCCCTCCCTCCCTTAACCTCCCTTTGCTCCGGGCTGGTGGGGAGGGAGTCCCGCCAGCTACTTCGAGGCTGGGCTGTCTTTCGAGGCTGGGCTGGGGGGGAGCTTGGCCCTGCCTGTCGTGTGGGTACACGGGAGGGTGCCAAGCTTGGGACTTGTGCCTGTTCCCTTCTTCAGGATGGGGAGGCTGTTTTTGCATGTGCTTAATGGACTCGGCTAAGTGCCTCCCCCCATATGGCTTCTTCAGGGCTGCAGGAGCCAGGGCAGAGCAGCTCCCTTTCTCACACCTCCCAGGCCAGTGATCCTCAACCTGTGGGTCATGACCAAAAAATGGGTTGGAAGAACATATGAAAGGGCCCTGAATAAACTTAAAACATGGATTATCCTATAAAAGAGAAAAATGTGGGAAGCCACAAGTTTTCCCTTGCAAGTTGGCAGAGCTCCAGCCTGTGAGGAGCTGCTTGGGGTGGGGCCCCCATGCACCACAGCCTGGGGGCAGGGGCCAGTGGGTCAGGAGTGAGGGGCACTGGATCAGGACTGGCCATCAATGTTTACAAGTGGGTCCTACTACAAAAAAGGTTGAGAACTGCTGTCCAGGGCTACCTGACTGGGAAAGGCACAGGTTTGGCTGTGCCTCTGATTTCATCTCCAAAGGTGCCATTGGGCCTTGCCTCCCTCCTGCCTTCAGGCTTGTGCGGTTTTGATACCGTCTTCCTCAAGCAATGTTTAACCTCTCGTATTTGTGTGATGTCGTCACCCGCCCATATCCCCTAGTGACAGAAGCCAGCTCTGGCAATGCAGTAAATCTGTCATATCCCTTTCTGTAGTTTCTCTCGGAGAAGTCTCTGCAAGGCTGGAGGCTTTAATACACTGTAGAGTTGCAGGGTGTGTCTATGCCACAATCCTGGTGCTCCGAGGTCATGCATATGCCATGAATACACACTCGGGTTCCTTGAATACTAAGGTATGAGACGTCACTTTTGTAAGTCTTCCAGCATCATTCTTTTTTTTTTTTTTTTTACTGTCTAAGAAGGGTATTAGCACATCTTACCTGAGGAGTTGCCTGTTATCTTCTGCTTTGTATGTTTGTATCTGATTAAGGCAAGTAGGTGTCTATTTAAATTTTCAGCAGTGGATGTGTTGACAAGCATCGGTATGGTTCAGATGATGGGAAAACAGGGGTAAAGAAAGAAGCTAAAGGAAAACGGAGAAAATAGAACCTCGTATCTAAATTTAGTAGGAGTTGCATGGGTTAAGAATGGTGCCAGAAGGAAAGCAAAAAATAGCTATTAAAACCCCAAACAAAACAAACCTACATATGCTTCTCTCCAGGGAAAGGTTGCAGATTCATTATGAAGGGAGCTTGCAGCTTTTTTGGAGATGGGTATCAGAGCTTTCAAGCACGACAGGTTGGGAGTAGACATACTGAAGGCTTTGCCAGTTCAATTTGTCTCCCACAGTTTCAGGAAGGCTTTACCAGACCACCTGCTTTGTGTGATGAAATAGCAAAACAAAACAACCTAAAAGGGATCTTTTCATTAACTCTTAACTGGGTCCCGAGGGCTTTGCAGCAGGATTCCTGGAACACCTCCTCTGCCCCCCCACTTTGTTCCTATCCTAGACTGAGGTAGCTGGCTATAGTAGCTTCCAGTATAGGTTTGATCAGGTTTCTGGCAGGACTAGGTCACATGCCACCTGAAGAAGAGACCCTGACAGAAAAGAGCACCAAAATGCCAGGGCCAAAGGGAACCTTGTCCATGCTGAGATCTGGCCATACCACGCTGGTTAGACAAGCAGTGCATGTGGGATGCCATGGGTTTGCTGTATCCCATTACAGGTGCCTCTTTGTGGAGAAGGGGGAGAGCAGTCCAGATAGAGCAAAGCAAAGCAAGCTGGTTTAGTAAGTGGTCTCTGCTCCCTTAACTTACCCTGGACTTCTCACCTGGCTCTTTGAACAAGATGCAAACTTGCCTTTATGAAACATTGCTTTCGTCACTGGGATTCTATGAGATGATGTGGCCATGCTGTGCTTTTGCTCATGTAACATATGAGATTTCATCACGTACCACATGTACCATTTAAAAAGTTGTTGGATTTTGGAGTGCACATAAATGAGAAATACGGTAAGAGCAGCTTCTGCTGTTTATTGCCAAAAGTAAAATCTGCACAGAATCTGCAGGGAGCAGAACAATGAGGAGTCTTGGCTTCCTACTTGCTGCTGCTACTCACTTACAAGGCGCGACCTACCTTCCCCCTCCCCAAATTTTGCCTTTCTAGATAAGGTGTGTATCTTATTCTGGGGTTCATTTTAGGTGAGAAAATGTAGTTGTTATTTTTTTTTCCACTTGCTCTCAGGTTTTGTGAGACCATACGTTTTCTCCATATGAAGCCTTTTCCTCTATCCACTAGCAATGGAGACAGCATATGTAAAGTTTAAGGAACCAAAACAGAAATCCTCTGAAAAGAATGAACTCTTCAAGTGTGTTGCTTATTTCTGTAGCAAAGGTGTGGGTGTACCTGAGTTTACTGTGTGCTGCTGCTTCACTTATTGGAGAAAATGTTACGAACATACTGCTTTATCTTTTAAAGGCTTTCTTAAAGTGTTTGTTCAATGTTTTATTTAAGGTTGCAGAAGGTTTGCTATACCCGTTCCCATTTCTGATCATCAGAACTGCTTCTTGGAAAGGGCCTGTGAAAGGAGACACTGTACAGACCAGGTTTGATGCTGAAAAAACGGAGTTAGTGGCACTGCCAGGACCCATATACCTGCATCCAGTTGATATTGTATACACAGATGTAGACATGGCCTCTGCAGAAGCGCATTTGTTGTGTTTGTCAGATGGCAGGATTAAAAATGGTGTGGTCACAAAACCACCATTTGTTTAGAACTTGGATGTTTGATGTCTCTGACTGGAATGCTTTGCTTGTACCATCCTTGTCTTCCGATTCTGGACAGAATTGTAGCATGGAAGGGATCTCAAGGGTCCTCTGATTCAATCTCTTGCACAAATATAGGTTTTGCTATTTCTGCACTTAATCTTCATTGGAGTCTTTCAGAGAGATTCTGCAACTTCTCTGGCAGCTTGTTCTCTGGTCTTAGTGTTTTTACAGTTAAGGTTTTCCTGTGACTTGCTCTAAATGTCTTTTGCTGTAGTTTTTTAAACCCAGTGACATCTGTTCTGCCTCTGTGGCAAGGGAGAGCAGTCTTTCTTCATTTTCTTTATGATGGCATTTCATGTGCGTTCTGAGATGTGTTGGGTTTTTGTTTTTTTTAATAGTTCCAGGAACCATCCTCTCAGCTCCTCCCTCATCACAGTGACAAGTGTTACTTAAAAGGCCACAGTGTGTCAGAAATGAAAAGCATGAGTGGAGAAATATGCCAGTTTAAGGAACAGAGAAGGTTATTTAGGGAACAGTTTCATCCAAGTTCGTTGATTTGATTATGAAGGTGGATTCTTCACTGTCTGAA